GGGGGTGGCTAGCGATGTCAAACTGCGCCGCCACCAGCTGCAACAGGGGAGGGCTGCTTCGCCCAGTTATGATCGGGTTTCCTATGGGGGGCAGGCGTGTGATCATGTTGGTGGCTCTGTATCCCCATTGCGCACTGGCGATGGCGATGAGCTCGGTTGGGTCCGGGCCCCCCGGGGTAGGGACTCCGCGCCCCGTCAGTGCCACGACCTTGCAGGAGCTCATTCCTGAAGCTGCCGCGGTCAATGTGGCCTGCAGCCGGGGCGCGTTGGCGTCCGCCACGACGATGGTTGGTGTGTCTTGTCCTTCTTCCTGGACCCCCCTACTGCTAACTAATTCTTTGATCTGTTCGTAGGCGCTCGGGCTGAACAATGCTATGGTGGTGCTCGTATCGTCCGCATGTATGTCTCCAACAAACGGGGTTCTTGCGATAACGAGTTCGGCTCTCAGCCCCCTGACTGCTGCCATCAGGAGGGGTGTTGGGAAGGTTCCCGGCCCTCTTCCACTGGCGCCCCCTGGGGGGTGCCAGGCAAGGATGGCAGCCCATCTGCCCTGTGTGATGCTTGGGGTTGAGTTTATCCCTTCCTGCCTGGATGGGGGAGCTGGGGCACTATTGCACCCTTGCCCCTCTTCACCGTCGAGGTCGGAGTCGGAGGGTGGGGTAGTGCTGTCTGGGCCGTAGTCCATGTCATCCTCCACGTCCATGGCGTCAGGTTGTGCTGCGGGCCTCCTGCTGTCTTCAGCGTGCTCCTGTATTCTCTGCATGTCCCTGACTGTGACATATGTTTTGGGCCTCCGTATCGTCAATAGGTCCGCTCTCAGGTAGTCCAGCTCCGAAGCTCTTGCACTTGTTGCAGCTGCCAGCTCCACATATGTGATGTGGGGGCTGATTGGGGTTAGTACCCCGCCCCTCAGCTGCAGCGTTGCCTGCGTCTCTCTGGGGGCAGGGTGTCCTGGGAGCAGCGCAGCTATGCTGCCTCTGTCGTTTGCTCTGCAATAGGGGCAACGGACTGGCATGGCGTTGTCTCCTCCTCTGAAGAACCCTGGCTGACTCAGCCCCCATTGTTCCAGGCACTCTTTGTGGGTCCTATGCCCGCACAGGCCCAGAACTTCCACCACCCCTCGGAGCTCCCCCGCGCAGATGGTGCATGTCTGCTCACCTTCCCCGGTGTCCCATGGCGGGATGTGATCTGGCTGGCCTGTCTGGGGGGCAATTGCCGCGTCGCCCGGTGGGTCAGCCGCGCAGGCAATGGCCGAATAGAAGCTCCCCGTGAGGATCCGCGTTGCAACGCGCGCCTCTTCCTCTGTTAAGCACGCCCGAAGCGACGTAGCTTTGAGAAGGAGACATATTAGGTGGTTCCCGAAGGGAGAGTGGGCATTGGGGGGCTGATCCTCCCTTTCTTCCGACAGGCGCCGAATGTCATCTGGGGCGTGCACGTCGGCTACTTGCAGCCATCTGGTGAGGACTCCGAAGGGCCGGTTGTCTATGCCTCGTACCTGGAGCACCGGTCTCAATAGGGGGCCATAGTGAGGCGCGAGGCAGAGCCACCTGGCTCTCGATATCCAGCTCGCTGGGTCCAGTCGAGTTCTGGTTTCTCTGAGCAGTCCTTCTGCCACTGTCTGGGCCTCTGACCCGTTGAGGGAGGTGCGGTCCACATTATGTTGCCTGGTCCTACCCGCCGCTTCGTCGTCTCTCTGCGTGGCGTCGAGCGTCCGTATCAAAGGCGTCCAGGGTTCCTCCCCTACTGAATACCTGTGCGGCACCCCTGCCGCTGTCGCTGGTGTGCCCCCCAGGATGCTGTCTGGTGTTCTCGTGCCACGGGGTGGTGGTGCTTTGTGCCCTTCCTGGTGCGGGGGAGGTGGGCCGCTGTCTACCTGCTGCGCCGCCCCCGTATCCGCTGGTTCGGCCCTGGGCCCGAGCGTTGCGCAGCCGCGCGCCGCATTCGACCGCCTGTCTGTCTGCTGTCAGCACCGCCTCCTGGAGTTGCCCGCGGGGGTCAAGCCACCTCATCATGCTTTCCTGCAGCGGGGGGTCTATGTAGCCACCCAGAAGGGGGGATGCGACCGTCCTTCCGATTTCTGTCGTCAGGTTGGCTGCCGCTAGTCCGAATCTGCGGCGCGCCCCCTCCAGTGTGGCGACTCCAACCTGCTGCCATGTTTCGCCGGCCCTCCTCGCCAGGGAGCTGGGGACCCCCGTGGCTTCAAACGCGTGCTCGAGCGTGGCCCTTCCTTCTTCAGTTGCTGCCCCCCATATGAAGGGCACCACCAGCCGACTCCATGTCATGTTTGGTGGAATGTTGTCTTTTGCAACCTGGGAGCGGATGTCCTGGATTTCTTGCAACACTCTCCTGACATGTCCTTCACTTCTGTGAGGTGGGAACGCCGTCGGACTTGGCACTGGGGCGCTCGTGGCGCGCGCGTCGCCACCCCCTCTTGTTGCCCTGTTGGCGCTCATCTCGGGCTACCGGGGCCCCGATTCCTCTCGCTCTCGTCCGCAGGGCTATCGCCAACCGCAGAGCCTTCCCGCGCGGGGTTCCCGGGACCAGGCTGCATGCCACCAATCCCCCGCTGCCCATGGCGGCCGCCACTACGGCTCTGCACGCCACCTCCGCTGCTTCAATCGCTTCGGGGCTTGCGCCAGTCGCCCATGTCCTGTCTGGTGGGGTGATGGCGAGGACCTGGTCGATGAACGCACCCCCGATCTCTTCGGAGCCATTCCATGTCCCCGACCTGGAGGCCTTCGAAGCAGCGTTGGTACCTGGTCCTTGGGCCCCGCGCGCCCCGGGCCGGGCCTCTCTCTGCGGGGGGTTGCGTCGGTAAGTTGGCGGCGGGGGCAACCAAGAGGCACTTCGGAACCCACTCGCGAAGCTGGCCGCGGAGGGGGCGTTCTCGCATGGTGTGCTGTAGGTGCGTCGTTGCCTCTATAGCCCGTCCCATCGGCGCACAGCAGAGCCTGGCCAAGGAGCCGGCCGCTGCCCAGATTGCTGGCTCGCCCCGTGGTCCTGGCGGGCCGGGCATCCGCCGTTCCGGAGGGCCCCGCCTCCCGAGGCCCCCCATTTCCGCCTCCGCCATGTGGCGCCAAGCTGCGAGGAGCTCGGCTATCAGCCAAGACGGAAAGAAATTGGTGGTCTCTGATGGGCGACGCTCGTTGTCGATGTGGCTGGCGATGGGGGCGCAGCAGGCCCCCGCCCTGGCCAGCTGGAACGTGAGCCGCGCACCCAGCAGGTCCAGGGGGTGTTCGGGGGCTTCCAGCTCGGTGGTGGGAGAGCTGTCCGTGTCAGTGGTCCATGCTGAACTGCATCTCTGACACACGATGCAGTTGCTCGCGTCCTGTCTCATGCACCAGCATCCGCAGCTTGCACATCTGTTTTTGGGCTGAAAGAAATCCCCACTCATGATCATTTGGGAGGCGCTGCTGACGGGCCACGGTCCTGTTGGGTCGTCACCTTCAAAATCTCCGGGCCCCAATATGCCAGGGGGCTGCGGTTCAGCGCTGTGAGTGGCTGGTATAGCCCACCCGTCGCGGCCTAGGCCCTGTTGCGGTGCTGAGAGGACGTCTGTGCCGGCCTCGATCCAGCGCCCCCTGCTGATGGCCCAACGTCGGACTTCACGGCGGTCTGGAAGGTGCACGGAGTTGCGGCGGTGCTCGTGGACTAGATTTGTAATATCCGTCCGGGCCTCCCCGTGGGGTCCTGCGTTGATGGGGTTTTGATGGCAGAACGTCCATGGGGTTTTGATGGTAGGATTTCGCGTCCCGAGGCAAACGAGAAATCATCGATGGACTGTTTTTTTGTGGACTACACTGCAAAAAAACAGCGATGCTGTTTTTATGAAGCGCAAAAACAACCTGAAACTGTCGGGGCAGTGCCATACGTGTCTATGATGCCGTGAACATGCAGCCGACGAGACAAAGTGGCCAGAGTAAAGTGGGGGCGCTGATGGAGGCGATGAGAAGGACAGGAGTGAGGACAGGGGCGAAGACAGAGTAGACACAGCACCGAAGTCAGGGGTGAGGAGAAGGTAGGAAGGGAGGGCACAAGGCACAGCAGGCGGGAAAGCAGGTTCGAAGGCAAAGGTTTCGAGGTCGGGCGCGAAAGGACGGGGAAGGGGAGAAGCGTGAGAAAGGTGGGAGGAGGAGGGATTACCATAGAGGGGCGAGGGGAGGGATGAGGAAACGGCGGCCGTATTGCAGGCCGACGCCCCTGTCCGCCGTGGGGCCTCTTGGCCGCCGTGGGGCCTCTTGGGAGCCTCTTGGGCCGTCTCGGTGCGATATTGGGGGGCCTCTTGGGCCGTCTTCGAGCAGCGGAAGCCCGACACGGGGGGCGGGGCTGGATTGGGGTCGTGGTGGCGTATCTGCAGGGGACCACTTGGAAGCACATGGAGGGCCATGGCTGGGGCTCTGGTTGTAGCTGGCGGAATGGCGGTAGCCTTCGAGCACACTCGACTCCGCGACGACCTGACAGACCCACCTACTCGCAATCCTGCTGGACAGTGCTAGACCAGGGTCCGCGGGGGGGGGGGGTAGGCGGGACGCTTATGCCAGAATTCCGAGGCGGGCCCAAACGTGGCCACGAGGGCTCCCCAAAAGCTCCAGAAAAGGGCTCACGAGCGTAGTTATCGGTTCGCCTTCGGGGGTCGGCGGAAGGCCAGCAGGCTGAGGAAAAACAGGGGGCGACGACGTGCAGACCCCCCTTTCCCTGAAGTGGCAAACGTCACAGCCGCCATCCCGCCTCTGAAGGCGGATCCACCCGCCGTCGAACCCAGGCCACGTCTGCACTTGCTTCAAGTCACGCACCGAGGAGAAGGAGAGCGCATGACGATATCGCAGCCTTTCAACTCCCATGATCACCATGTCACAAAAGATGGGGGCATAGCGGTGCCCCATCCGCCCCCGCTCGCGCCTGGCCCGAGCGCCTCGAAAGCCAGCGGGCGCGCCCTCACTAGGCCGCTCGCTGGCAGGACCACCCGCGCGCGGCTCGCTGATCCCAGCGTCCACGCCAGCCTACTTGGCCTTGCTCAGGGCGGCCGCGAGCAGCTCGCTGATCTTGTCGGACACCAGCTTGTTCACGTCCGTCTCGCCGAACTCCGAAGCGTCGTGCAACGTGTCCCTCATGTTGGTCAGGCTCTCCACCGCCTCACTTGCCTTGAGGTTCTTGATTGTCTGCATTGCTCGTGCCTCCCAAAGCATCGAGGACGAGCGGCGATTTGCTTTTTCGAACCGCTCGGCGAGCTCAGCTCGGTTCGCCTCCATGCCGTGTTCGGCGGCCTCCTCCTTGATAGAGTTCAGCTTGCCCTGGATGGCGGCCACGAGGCTCTTGACCTTCCCCGAGATGCCACGCTGCTTGGCCAGCGTCTTGGCAAAGTGAGCCTGGATCCCGTCGAACGTGTTGGGGTCATCGGCGTCATCGGCCCAATATTTCGACGATCCGTTGGTAACGCCACCAGATAAGCCTTCGAGCTCGACGATCTTCTGCACGGTCTCGGACACCAGCGCCGACCAAAACGAGGTGGAGAAGTCGACGAGCCTGGCGGTGCACATCTTGTGCAACTGCGTGAACTGCACGTTGAAAGCCGCGAAGGTCGAGATGATGCCGCTGCCCTCGGAGGGCGAGCCACCCTCGCTATCCTGCAATGGCTCGGCCGCTGGATGTCCCGCGTCGGGCTTCGGGTCGACCGCGGCTGGGGCCACCGTCACTGTTTCCCAGAACCGTTTCAACGTCGGCTTCAACTCTTGCCATGCCTAAAGGAAGCACGATCGGGCACCCGCGGAACTGACCGCGCCGAGCGAGCGCCCTGCCCGCCAGCTTTTCGCCGCTCGCCGTTCGCCCCCACCCCGTGCCCCCGATGCCCCATACCCACCCTAGAAGGACCACACACCCCTGGACAAAGGAAAACTCAAACTTTTCAGCGGCTCAGTTCCGCGCGCCCGATCGCGCCTCCAAGGAGTTAGCTCCACATGACTCGTCATCGAAGTTCTCGCAGGCGGTCTCGAGAGCATTGCGGGCCTTGACCACCTTGGCAAACTGAAACAGCGAGTCGACGCGACGCATGTCCTCCTCAAACTCCTTGGACTTGCCGCCCTTCGGCTCGATGTGGTCTACGACTGCCAGAGCGACGCCGAGCAACTTCAACATCTCATCGGCATCGCCATTCGAATCCTTCGCAGTGTCGCTGATGTCTATGGACACGGCTTCGGCGCGCGAAAGGCACCGCTCGATGCAGCGCATAACTGCTTGAATAGTGTCATTCTTAATGAACTTCATCCCGACGCACTGCTGGCGAGCTTCTCGCACGGCCACGATCGACTCCTCCTTGTCGTGCGCCATGGAACTGCAGGCTTCCGCTAGCGTTTTTTCCTGGACCACCGACGCCACGGATCCCGCAAAAGTGCGGAGGTCGTTGGCCGCAGCCTGAAGCTTCTCGATGATCTTGTCGTCAACTCCCCTGAAGTCGACGGCCTTGGCGATGAAGGCACGGAATTTCACCTCCAAAGACGTCAGCGCGGCGGGGCTCTCGGCGGCGGCAGCCGCATCGCCATTGGATGCCATGCCCAGCGTAACCCAGCCAACCAGGGCCGAACACATGAGATTCAACATAGGGTTAGCACCACCCTTGCGAAGCTGCTTGCCAAAACCACCAAGCTGTTCGAAGATGGTCTCGAATTCGGTCGCCGTGATGTCGGGCTTGCCCAGCTGCGTGGTGAATGTTCTGATAGCCTCGCCGTGCTTGATGTCCGTGTGGTAGGCCCTGTTGTACTCGCCAATGCACTCTTTGAGCCCCGTCCCGAAGGCGAAGACTACGTTACTCCAGTCCTCGGACCACTCCTCGCGAATGAACTTGCGGACATCTACCCTGTTCCCACACTGCACGAGCGCCTCGGGGCATGGGTCTAGCAATACCTCCAAGGACTCCGAGAAGACGAACAAGTCGTTTGCGAGTTCCTTGAACTCGTCGGGGGCCGCATCGCGCTTCTCCTTAGTACCAACGTGGTCGCCGATAGCGTCAGCCATCATGGTCAGAGCCCCGATGTCAATGTCATCCTTCTTGGTAACGGGGAGCACGACGTTGTTGATGAAGAAGCCCCTGCTGAGCTCGGCAGCCTTCTTGAGCAGGAGCCTGGCGAAGGCGAGGAGTGGATCGGTGACGGAAAACTGCTCGACGTGTCCTTCGAACGACTCACTCCATGGCATGCTGATATGGACCATGTCTGCCACCGAGTTCGCCTCCCTAACTGCTGCCGCGACGAGCTTCAGCTTGAACTGGAAGGCCCCGTCGATGTTGACGCCCTTCAGGTTCTTCAGCAACTTCATCCTGACCTCCTTACCCATGGCATCGACGGCAGACCCGCCGAGACTATTGCAGGCGTCGGTGATTCCCAGAAGCTTGGCCTTCTTGTTGACCACCGTTCCGTCAGCTGGCTTGAACCTTTTCAAAGCGTAGAGCCTGTCTCCCATTTTGTGGTCGGCGCCCTTGTCCAATACGGTAGCAAGGTTTATTTCGGATTGGAGCTCGTCGAGGCGGAGCCTGCCAGGGTTGTCCAACCTGTTATGAACGCTGCCCTTGCTGCGCTTGGCGGCCGTTGCTGTGACGCCAGTGACGCACGACCTCGCGCCATCCATGTCCTCGGCTGACGGTGAGGGCCTCGGCAGCCACGATGCGGGCTTGTCGCGGGGCGTCATTACCTCGGGCTCTTCAACTGCTTCAGCTTCGGACGGCGGAGCACTCGATCCGCCGATCTGTCCATCGCAGAGGGCCAAGCTGACTTTGGAAGGCTGCAACGTCGGGGTGCGCTGCTGGGAAGAAGCGGGGCCGCCGTAACGGGCAGCAACTGGCGTAGTCGGCGGCTCCTGGAACAATCCTCGGGCTCTCGCTGCCCCGATGGCGCGCTTCCGTACTTCCTCCAAGGTGGGGATCGACACGTGTCCGCGCAAGGCCGTCGGCATCATCTCCCGCGTGTACTTCTCGATCGCCTCATCCGTGTTCGCAGCCTGGCCGTCGCGGCAGTAGTTGCCAGCTTGAAGTGCCCATTCTGCATGGGAACCGCACGTGCTGGACCACTTGCGCACCTTCACGTACGGCTGGGACGGGTCCACGACCAATACACCAGACATCTTCTCAGCATGATGTTCGTTCTTCATCTCCGTGATGCGCTCGCCCGCGTCATTCGGGGTCATCTGGCTTGCGCCACGGGGCAGAATGTCCTTCTTGTACTGCTGCTCGTTGATCAGGATGCAATCCGAAAAGATAGTGGAGCCAGTGTCCTGCTTGATGGCCACGTCGTGGGGGCGCGTGCTGCTCGCCGCCTTGCCGTCCGCGATCTCGCACGACGTCTCGAAAGCCTCCGAGATGTCTTTGTCTTCGTTTGCTTTCGCACACAACTGCGTCCACGTGTAGTCGAAGTGCCACTGTCCGTTCACGTACCCCTTGAAGTGGTAGCTGCATGCGTGCATGAACTTCATGATGGGCTCGCCAGGGAACTTGGCATCGGGGAACGGCGTCTCGGAGCCCTCCTGGGAGTTGCAGAAGCCGCACCTGCCCTTCGTGGTCTGCCTGGCAGTGCTGCTGCTCACATATCGGATGAGCAAGGGACCAACCGACGATGCAGACGCCTCGCCTCCTCTGTTGCCCGCTGCTTTCCGTTTTCTCGGCTGCTGTGTCGCGGTCGGGCCGCCACGGCCAGCGCCCCTGCCCGTGCCACGAGCACTCTTGACGGTGGGGGCGCCCTGGTTGTCCGAGCCATCCTCTGACCTCTGAGCGGCATGAGCAGCATCCACCACCTTCTCCCCCCTCTTCATCGAGGCGCCGCTGCAAGGGTGACGGGGGCAAGGCTCGCGAGTCGAGCTAGCGAGCGGTAAATGGCGGGCATGCCAAACGCAACACTCGTTGGCCAAAATGGCAGCTCCAGCGGAAGGAGGCGAGCGAGGGGTGGAGGTCTGGGCGCGGGGTGCAAAGCAGACTATATGGGGGCATAACTCGAACAGCTTTACCCAGGTGAGCTTTTGGGGCGTGGGGGTGAGGGCGAAGGCGCCTGCCAACCCCCCCGAGCCCCCCCTATGCAGCAGACAAGTAGGCCAGGATTGTCGGGCTGGCCCGCTTTGACCCCCTGGAGCCCACCTGGGGTGTCGCCGAAGCCCCGCGAGCGCCCACCAGGGGGCCCAAGAAAGCTCCAAGAGGGCCCCAAGAGCTGCATAAAAGTAACAGAAAACCGAAATCAGGAATCATGTGTTTGATGTAACTTCCCTGGCCTGTTTGGACCCCTCTTCGGACCCCCAAGACGGCCCAGGAGGGCCCCGAGAAGGGCCACAAGAAGGCTCCCAACGGGTGCTGCAAACGGGGGGTGCGCTGTAGCACCCGTTGGAGGCCCTTGGGGCCCTCTTGGGACCACTCGGAGCCCTCTTGGAGCCGTCTTGGGGCCGTATTGGGACCCTCTTGGGCCGCCTCGGGGCCCTCGTGGAGCCGTCTTGGGGCCCTCTTGGAGCCGTCTTGGGGCTCTCTTGGGGCCCTCTTGGGGCCCTCTTGGGTCGTCCTGGGGCCCTCTTGGGGCCTTCTTGTGGCCTCTTGGGGCCTCTTGGGCTGTCGTGGTGCTCTCTTGGGGCACCCTTGGAGCTCAGAGATGGCCCAAAAAGGAAGATAGCCAGAGCGGTTGGGAGAGGATGGACGGATGAGGGCAATCCCAAAGTGGAGTGCCTGCAGCTGCCTCGGCCTTCCCCTTGGCCTTGGCTCTCGCCTTGGACTTCGGGGCCGTGGACTTGGTCTTGCCCCCCTTCGGCTCGTCGGGGCCCTCCTGGAAGCTCCCTAGAGCTCACCTGGGATGTCGCCGAGGCCCCGCGAGGGCCCAAGAGGGGCCGAAGAGGGCCCCCAAAGGGGCCTCAGTGAGCACCTGGCCAAACTCCTTCTGGCGGAATTCGGTAGGACGAATGCAGATGCAATCTTGGAACAACCTTGGAGCTCGCCGTCCTCATCGTCTCCTCCGCCCTCCCTCCTCTAACTCCTCCTAAGTCATCCGCCCCATTCCTCTCCCCATCCGCCTTATCCTTCCTCCTCCTCCCCCTCCCATCCCCCATCCATCCCCCCCCCTTCGGTGGGCCTTCGGGCAGCCTGCGATCTGTGGTGACTGGCGGAGCCTGAAGGAATCAGGGAGTCCAACAGCGGGGGCAAGCCCCTCCCTTCCTGAGGTTGCTGGCGGCTCGGCCGCCATCCCGCCTCTGGAGTGGAGCTCGGCCACCCCAGCCTTTGAACCCCTGAGGCCCTTGGGCCAAATACTACAAGGGACGTGACGACCATGGGCACGCATGTGGGCCCCTCCCCCGCGCCCCTGTCCGCTGCGCCTGCTCCAGCGGGCCTCGCCGATCTATCTCGAGCCCAGTCTGGCCCCGTGGCATTTGCAGCGCGTGGGCCGAGGGCAGAAAGCTCCAGTTTTGAAAGAGGTGGAGGATGGAGGGAAACCAAGAGGCGGTGCGGAGGAGGATAAGGAGGTGGAGGGGAGGAGAGGGAATCGGAGGAAGGGACTGGAGACATATAAGTGGAGGAGGGGCAAGGGGGGAAGGGGGTCAGTGGCGAAGGTGGCGGTGGGAGTATATGTCTTTATTTTTCAGAGGGACCATGGCCGAGGCGCCTCGGTCGGCACACTGGGACTTAGTGAGAGCTCACAGCGAGCTCGGGAAATATGGACGGAGCTAACGCAAATGTGAGGCCCTCATGCTTGCGCCACTCACGAGGCATCCAGACCTGCGCCACTCACGAGGTCGTCTGACCTGTGCAACCCACGAAGACTCCTGACCTCCGCCACTCACGGTTGCCAGCCAAGATCAATCCTGACCTGTGCGACTCACGGCGCTGCCAAACCATCCTCG